CTGTCTTAGGCCGGCCCACTGCCCAATTGAAACGTGCGGCGAGATCGATCGATCGTTACTAGGCGCGCAGAGAGTTGTAACGATCGATCGATCTCGCCGCACGTTTTAATTGGGCAGTGGGCCGGCCTGAGACAGCGATTTTTAATAATTAAATAACTCGCTGACTCTTGCGAAAATTGCAAAATGGTAGAGGACTTTTCGACTTAGTCTAGTCCACTCTGTCCCACAATAAGCGTTGATGCGGGTATTACATAACACCCTGTATATTATATTTTAATATAATATAATACAGATATAAGGATTTGCGAGCGCTAACGAATTCGGTTTGTATATTCAAGATTGCGGCGAGAACTTGTACGAGAATCGAAATACGTTTACAAAATTAACCAGACACTTTTCGTCAATTTCACTTTTGGTTTCAAGCGACATTTTCCCATTTGCAATTATTTTTAATTGCATTCGTAATGCAGAGCGAATCGTTCATTGAAATTGATTGCAATTCGAATTCCGATTACTTTCTATCAATGCGAATGCCGCATGAATCATACAATGATGTTTACCGGTGACATGAATAATTTATGGCTTTGAATGAGTGATTTATGTGTTAATCTGCTAATCGAACACTATGGTATATGATGTTTTGTTGATGCGATTCCATGACGCACAAATTTCCAGTGTAATATGTCATAGGGACATATAGAAATAATTAATACAATTGTTACAAAACTGCAGCGCGCTTAATAATAATACGTATACGATATTTACCAAACAGAAAAAAAATATTAATTCAACATAATCTATTACGCAGGTAAAGAGAAGTATAATGCTGAAAATGGCGGATGCTTGTCAGGAAGCTAATAAGCACAAGCAAACTACGTTTCAAGAGATGTACGTACAACGGCATAATAACGTAAGGTAATTTATTATACATATTAAAATTTCCTACACATATTAATGATCGTAACGAAACGTTATTTACATAACGACAGTTATAAAATATTCAATGCAAATATGTTGTTTAAAATTTTCATCTGAGGAATATCGTGAAATTTTCATTATAAATGAAAAAAATAACATTTTTTTTTATTCCGTAAGAGAATTAATTTAAAATCGCAACGCTCTCCGATATTTCCATATAATATTTCGTTCATACTAAGCACCCGATCGAATCGATTCGCAACAAGAAAGACAACGTTAAAAATAAGACCCCGCTGCCCAAGGTCAAGAGCAGAAATAATTTAATCATAATCAGTGCATTTAGAAGGCACGCGCGTATTTAGTTCTCCCGAGGATTATATGGGTCGAGGATGATGGCAAGGAATATTGATTGCATTGAAATAAACGCACGTCGCACGTGTCGCACATTGCCTTTGGTCGTCCGTTCTCTATTTATCCATTGATCTAGCGATGCATCTGAATTTAAATCATGTGATCGCTCGATTGTGCAGCATCCGAATTCAATCGAACGCGCGAGATTAGATGACGATCCATCAAAGACAAATTTTTCTTCAATGCCCCTTTCTTTGAAGTTATGCACTCATCTTATGAACTCCAGGAAATTAATAAAGGATTATTCCGCTATTTAAATTTAGTTTTCAAATTAAAGAATTTACGCGTTAAAGTTCGTTGATTCAAATATTAAAATTTTTAACATTAAAATATTAAATAATTTACTAAAAATGTTCTCGTTGCTTGGTCTTTTATAATAGAAATAACGTAAATATTAAACTTGAATTAACACCAACATTTATAGGAACGATTTCAATCTAGATGTAGAATTGATTTCTGCTTTAGATATTCCTGTGTGTTATCGAAAAATTTTGCAATGCATAAAATTTTATTTTTAAAAACAATATATCTTTGATTGCACAGCATTCTCTACGCGGACATTGTCAACTTCACACCGCTGTCGGAACAGCTCTCAGCTTCCGATCTTGTGAAGACGCTCAACGAGCTCTTTGGCAGATTCGATCAAATAGCACAGGTAAAAGAAAACATAAAAGTTAATTTGATTTATTTTCAATTAAATGTTGTATGTGATTTAAAAGAATGAATTTTCTTGTCCAAAACTCTTTCCCAATAACATTTTTTATTTGAAAACACTTTCAATTTGCTTCCTGTAAAAACTGCTCTAGATATTTATCGTAGGAAAAATGTTTTTGATAAAATTAATCCTATCTAATATAATTATAGACCGCATCGTTTTTACTTATGTGAATTGAAAATTGCCTACTAAATTTATTTCTGGAATTAATTCCAATACAGAGTAAATAATCCGATACTGATGAAGAGAAAGAACATTTTGACTCGCAAAAGATTTCTTGCCACGTGTATTATCGTAAATATTGTCGTCTAACATAAAGTCGACTATGGATCCATTAGTGCGAGGTGAATAAAATGTCTGAAACCTTTTACCCTTTACCAACAAGCAGAGTACATGATCGCCTATCACTTGTGCAAAGAGGGATATTGAAAGTGTACTTTCAATTTGCACTGAGAATAATATTCAAACATTTCAAATTCTCAAATTTAATAAATTCTTTCAGTAAAAATCGTTCTACAAAATGTACAAACATCGGAATCTAGTATAACTTTAATAAGAGTATAACTTCAACGTCACGAAATTTCTAGCGTAAGGAGAGACGTATGAATTTTAGTAAGGAAAATTCTTTTACATATACTTACAGTACAGCATAATTTATTGTTGAACGCTACAACTGAAATCGAAGGAAAGTTCGTCATGTTAAACGCTGCAATTTAGAAAATTATTCAGTATTTATCTGCGGAATATTTCTGACTCTTGTTCGCGTGTATTTATTTCCGTTTAACGATTCAAATACAATGTTTTCAGCAGCGCACAAATTGAATTTCGGTACGTCAATATACTTTTAAATCAGAGTTCCTCGTTGGCTAAATAAATTTCCAGGCTTGCGACTCAGTGTAATTAAATCTTTCTCAAAAAAAGCATGGAATATGTGCTCTTTTACGAACGCAGCAATTTTATTTGTTTTACTCGTGCGTCGCGTTTACAATAATCTGTTACAATGACATTTAGTTAGGCGTCATCAGCCAGTAGTCAAACTAAAAAACGGTTAGTTTTGACAAACGTTGTAAAGAACATTAAACATTTACAATGCAACTATTTCAAATATTGATAGAATGACATTAGTCTTGTTATATTGATACTTTTTTTACAATTCTTCTACAATTCTTTACACAGTTACATTTTGCTTATTAATTTTAATTCACAATTTTCCACATGTCTTTCTAAAAACTGGAATCCTGCTTATAAGTGTACTCCAAAACGTGTTTACAATTTTAATTTCCCTAGAAAGATGAAAGTTCGGAGATCTATTATAATTGCAAACGAGATTTCTATACGGTTACCAAAAAGTTCAGTTTTCCTGTATAATTACAATTGATCAACCAACCTCAAGAAACTCTTTTAAAGTGAAACATATTTAAATATTTCTTATTTTAGTTATTGGATTAATTTGATTGAATTTCTAATAAATTGAATATAAGATATTTTATATTTTTGCGAAACTTTAACACTGAAAAGATACGTTTAATGCATTATAAAAACCACAGCTGTGAGGGTCTCCTCATCTCTACGAAAGGCGACAGATTTAACAATTTCCAAGATATTTGATAAAATTCATAGAAATTGCCGAATTCTGTAAAACTAATAGATAACTTCAATTAAAAATAATAAACGAGATTGCAAAATATGACGTGCGACGCGACGTTACGCTTTTTCGACAAATATTGAAGGTCGTTCAATCAAATCGTGATAACGATAAAAGGTTTCTTTCGAACATTTGATTCGCAAAAATGTACGCAATTTCTTTCCCCGCTAACGACTATCTGCTCTTTTTCTTTTTCTAGACATCGATTATTTTCTCCCGCGAAAATTTCATTTGCGTGAAAAATCGAATGTGTAAGGTAAACGTATTAGCTAATGGAATACTTGATAATAAGAATTGAAGGAGAAATTTTCATAACATCCCAATATAAATCTTTTTTATCTTCAATGAAAATCGACGGTTTAGCGATGTGTAAAATGTAAAATTATGCGCAGAAAAATGATCACGACGAAAAATTTTGTATTCCAATAAGAGAATACGAATCTAGAAACGCCGGATGAGGAACGTATATACTTTTTTATTTTGTACCGCCTTTTTCACTAGTCCCCTCGATTTTCCGTAAACTGCGAAAAGAGTAGTTTTACGCTTAAACTAATATAACAACAAACTAATAAAGCTGCAAAGGGGGACAGAGTATACAATATTGCGCGCCTCTGTGTTCATAATCGGATGCCGTTTACATTCTTTCTCTTGGCAAAGAAAAAGCACGAACTTCCGAGTCACGCTACATTAGCGCAGAAAATTGCTTTTGGAACGACAATAGAACACAATATTAAGCTTGAGTTTCTTAATTCCCGAGTTCTCAAGAAATCGGTGCTTTGTCAACGCATTTGGAATAAGTAAAAAGAACTTATAATCGCATTATTAAAATCAAAGAATATCTTTGTACTTTTAACAGGATTTACAACTTCTCCAGTCTGACAGAATGTAAAATATCTTCATCGCGAATGAATATATTTAAATTCGTATGAATAAAAAAAGACACGCAATATACACTCTACCTCCTCTTATAGATTTATTAGTTTGTAGCTACGCATATTAGTCTAAACTTAAAATCACCCTTTTCACAACAGATAATCGAAAGAACGAATAAAAATGATGATATGAAACAAAACTATTTTTCATCTGGCACTTTTAGATTCAAATCCTATCCAAAATATAACATTTGTCTTGACAATTATTTTTCTGCGCGTATAGCTTTAAATTTTATATATCAATAAACCGTAGATTTTCATTAAAGATGAAAATATTTATACTACGATATCTTCAATTTTTATTTTTATTACTAAGTATTTTATTACCTAATGCGATTACTTTACACATTCAATTTTGCGCGTAAATGAAATTTAATTTACCGACTAATTGTTGTATTACATTTGCATTGATTGTTAACTTTTTGCGTTAATATTTGTTGCGTTAATATTTACTTTAATTTTTACCGATATACCTTCGTCCGTTTTGCGTTGAACATTGTTTGCAAATAATTCAACATTATACATTAGCTTTGGTAACTCGTCAAAGCTATCAAGGGACAAATACGCAGTACGTATATTTCCAACGAGAAAAGAGGGTCAAAACATGCCGCAAGCGGACGGATTTTAAAACTCCGGGGTTTCATTTATTTTTCAACCCGCTCTCGCAACCGCAACATTGCTATCGCCACCACCGTTATTGATCACGAGTTTTAGGAATTGTTTATAAAGCCGAACATCTGCTCGAAGAGAAGTGAATTAGCCAGGAAACTTGCAAAATTTCACTCGCCGGGGGCCAGATTGCAAACGCCAGGGACTCTAAGCTTTACGGCGCGGCGTCGCATAATTCGCTTTTATAGCGGCGGGAAGAACTTTACGGCGTCACCGGAGCACGGCATGAATCCAAGCACAATATGATCTAGCGGGGGCCGTGATCGTTTTGCAAAGCGCCTTTTTTTTACGAACTTGCGAACCGTCGTTCTCGCACTGGTTAATCCGCTGACCGAGCAGGATACCAAACAACCGGCATACACAGTTTGGGTCATTTGGCTTGATTACTTTGAGCTATTATTTACGATCTGTTGGTTTTATTTATACGACTCCAACAACGCTTCATAGACAAGGATAAATTTTGTCACGTTAAAGCAGCAGAATCTAATTTTAATATGTCTCTGAAAATCATTTGATCGCCGGACAACGTGGCATTTTGAAGAACTTTGTGTTAGAGCTATTTAAAATTTACCACACATTCTACTAGTAAAATGTAAGTACAATTACTAGTCAAACGTATGGCAAAATGTCACAAAACTCTCGTAAACTTCTTTGCCGTGTTGTCCCACGATTATATAATGTTCAGGATAAATTCACATAAATTCTGTCCGCGCATAATTATTTAATCTAAGTGTAAAAGTAAAAAAACAAAATTCTAGATCGCCATCGTAATAATGGCGAGGACACCGCAACGGCATGCTGATCGATGATGGGAATTATACCGCGGATAAATTCCGCATTCCGTCTTAAGGAATCCCGCAGTGTTCGCGTCGTATCAGTAGTGTCTGTTTTCCCGCGATCTCTTGACGAACAGAAAAACAGAATGATAAAATTTTCCAAATTTAATTTCGTCCGTTTTGTCGGTTAAACTCGAATTTATCGACGCTTCAGGCTCGGATACGCGCGCACCTAATAATCTTATGGCCCGTAACTTCTCGTTTCTCGATTCGCGTCGTGCAATCCCATGTAAGTGTCGTGTTTCGGTAATAAATTGTAATTTGCAACAAGGAACTGTTCCACGATGTAGTAGCAATTATTAGGAGAATCTTATTACAAAGTTATTACAAAGTCATTACGTAGTCGAAATTTCATCGAAATTCAATCTTTGAGTTAAAATCATGCATTAAAATTGCGCTATGCTTATGCTAAGCAATAAGATAAATGCCATAAAAATCGTAAACCCAACGATAAAATGATATTATAGATAATAAAAATATTTTATTCTTATAAGAAATTAGACGAATTATTTCTTATCTTTGATATCACGATTTACTTTTTAACGTAGCAATATTTAAGAAGGTCATATTGAAAGCTGTACGCCGATATAATTTTTTAAGTTTAATTAAATTTTAAATAGAAAACTGTCGAGTAAATTGACAGCAGAGACTTTATTGTCAAAGTTATTACCATTCGAAAAATTCAATTTTTGTGAAATCAAACACAAAAGCAATCGTATTTTGCATATATTTTTATTGTAAACATACTTTTACAAAAGAATGAAAAATTTATTTGTAACACACGTTCTGTAAAGCTAAACTCAGCTTTATGTAAATTGTAATTATAAATCGCGAATTGTAAAAATAATTAAGTGCTCGGCAATAAAAGGGTCAAGTGTTCCTTTCTGAAAATCTCTTTGTGTGAAAATAAATGAAATGCTCACTTGTAAACGAACGTTATAATAATATCTGAAATATATATGTATTAATTCTTCTTGTCGATAGAACGTTAAATAATATAATGATAACAATACAAATCGAAAATATCTAGAAATGATTTTAAATTTCTTTCGTCTCGATGGGTCAAACGAGTAGTAATGTACTTTTCTTCGATTTGTATATTGATCCGCCTGGCCCATTCTTTAAATTGCTCAATAACATTTCACTGGCAATGAGTTTCACGGTTCACAAACTTGAGCTAGATAAGAGAAGGGAAAGGGTAGAAACTAGGGGAAGAAACGTCACGTAAATACACGAATAAATTAATGATGCGGAAAATGAAGGAGGAAGATAATATCCTTACTGACGACAAAGTTCTTATAGCTTCGAATCAATCAATGTGTCAAAGATAACATCAGGAAGAGACACTTATTTGTAATTTTTTACAATCTTGTATTAATTTTATGTTTATTGATATTTATTATATAGCAAAACATCATTTTACACTTTGTGAAATATTATTTCGCAATGAAATTAATTTGTTTCCACATTTTTCAAAGTAAATCCGAGAAAAATTCCACCGAGTTCCTTCTCTCAGATTCTACAAAATGTCTCTGTAACTCCAAGAAAATTAAAGTCGCACGATATTAGACTCGAACTGAAGTCTTCTCGGATCAGCTAGCTAGAGTATTCTCAAGGGTACTTTAGGTGGAAACTCGATCCTTTCTGAACTCGATCTGATATTAGGTCCCAACTAAATCGGATCTTAATTAGATCAATTAAGGCTAGATCATGCTCAAGTGTCGGATTTGAATATAAATTAGATTTAATGTAACGTTGCACAATGGTGTAACACAAGTACCAAGGAAATTTTCAAGTTTTATTGCTCATATTCTGAATCTTGCAAAAGTATTCTGTCGCAAGAACAGCGGAATATGATATATAGCCATCGACAGATGTTTTCGAACTAAAGGTTCGGATTTCTCGCGCTTCTGCTTCCGCCGTGTTCGCAAGTAATTCTGAAAAACGTGCAATATTTCACGATAGGCAAACACCAATGCCGCAGATGGAAAAACTTTATTTCGTTGGTGTGGGTGAAATGTATACGATACGAATCCGAGCTTCGTTGGGAATGCCTCTGTCTATTTTCTACCTTTGCAGCATATTTATCTTCGCAAATATATCACTGCAAAGATTCGATTTTTACCCGAACAAAAAGGAAGATAATCAAAGTAAGAGACTCAAAAGGACAAATAATTTACAAATCTTATAATATGTTTTCACAATTAATAGCTTTTATAATAAAAACATTTATAACAAAACAGATATGCGGAGAGAATAAGAGAATTTATTAGTATTTAATAATATACATTGCTCTGTACACGCATAAATTATTCATTTGCACGCAACGTTAATTAAATCGGCAGTAAAATGCTAATTAAATGAATATTGCAATGAATAAAAACGACGTTACGTGGATGATCAAAATTTATAAATTTTCATATAAATGGAAATGGATGGCTTACGTAACTGGACTATGTAGATATCACCTTGAAATTAATCATAATTGTAATATAAAGAGTTATGGATTATATTTGACTATTCATATATAAATAAAAGGCTACTGTAACGTAAATTTATGTAGAATTGCCACCACCTTACGCGTTGTAATAAAAACCCTTTAATAAAATACTAAGATTATCGCATATAATAAGAATAGAAAGTATGTAAACTGCATAGAATGTAAATATACCAAATATTTCGTGACTATTAGAAAGATTAAGTATGAGAAAAATAGAAAGAAATTACAAAAAGTACATAATTTCTTTGACTCTCTACTATCTTAATTTTCTACTTTCACTAATTGTCCAGTTAAGTAAAATTGGAATTATCATATGTCAAGTGACGACAAATAACTGTCAACTTGCCACCTGGGTAAATATTTAATAGATGTGAATTTTTGGCGCCCTTTAAATGTGAAAAGAAATTATTTCTTTTCCTCTAAAAAAAACATCCAGATAAAAAAAATGTAATAAGTTATTTTTTAAATACATTAAAGTATCGATTATAAATATTCAATATACTCTTTGCTCTCTATAAAAAATATACCAAATACTTTTATTGTAGACTTCTTTTTTCTTTTGGAGCTGGCGAAGTAGATGAAACGTTAAATTTGTCACGGAGCGCAAAGGTTTAATTAATAAACAAATTAATTCCCGATTTTCAGGACAACCAGTGCATGAGGATCAAAATTTTGGGTGACTGTTACTATTGCGTTTCCGGGCTCCCGGTTTCCCGTCCAAATCACGCTTACAACTGTGTAAATATGGGACTGCAAATGATTGATGCCATCAGGTGAGGATCAAATAAAATACTAAAATTACGTTACTAACGAGCGAGAGCTCGTTAGTTACATGCGTTCTTCTGTAACTATTTTTTTAAATTGTTGCCCGAAGCTTAACAGGGTGAAAAAAGAAAATAATTGCTGCATTACTTTTGTACGCAAAAGGATTTGCAAAAAGAGGAAAGATCTCCCCATGAAAGCACGTAGAACATTGTGATATTATATCAATGGCGTTCTTTCTTCGTGCTTCACATTTTTCTCGGATTTATCGCGTACAATGGCACAAATAATTATTAGACGAAGGGAATATTTCAGACTTTTCATAATTACAAACTAACTCGCGCAGTACCTACTAATTATTTCGGTAACTCGGTCGGGAAAAATTGTTGAAGAAAAAAACTTTTGATTTCGCACGAAATTCGGAATAAAAGCGGAAATATATCTTTATGTACATAGAATTTACATTATGCCACGCTATAAATCTATGTAGTCGGCACATCAATGGCAGTTGAAGACTTAACACTCCCGCATAATTCTGGTTAATCGTCTACTGCGCTTTAATAATCACAGGCCTTGCGTGCGCTTTGTTGATGGCATCGTTTATGCATCGAAATGCGATAACGTAGATTACTCATCAGTAATTAGAGGATTAGTACAACGCCGCTTAGTTATATAGACATTAATTACGGAACAATGCGGATCGAAAGACCGGTCAACCGTTGCCTATTATCCTTGTTATAGCTCTTACGTTTTAAGAGTTCGGTTCTCACAAGTTTGTTTGTTCGTTATTTCCCAGTGAGAAATGATTCGCCGATAGATGACAGTTTGACGGTGTCGATGTCGATTCGATGTCGTCTCGACATCTATCGACGAATCACTTCTCACCGGGTCTTCGATGGAACTGAATATTGACATTTTATTACGTTCTATCCAACGATCTCCCGTGTATCGAGTTAAAAATTATTTCTTTTAATCGCAATTCTTTCAACTGGCATCTTACACAATCCCTACAATTAATTCTAATGCAACAAATGGAAATTGCTTCCTTGCGCTCTTTCCAAGTTACGTGTCGCGCGGTAGGAAAACTTTTTTAAACTTCAGCTACCTAGACCTTTATATCTCGTGTTTACACGGCGCCTACTGTTTTCTTTTCAACAAACAGAATCCAAGATCGGATAATCGTTAAGTTTAATGGGTGGTGTGCAGCGAGAATGTGGTAGGAGCGACAAGTTCCCGCATAAATGTGCGGGGCGCAAATGAGTATTCTCGAATTGAATGTCGTCGCACGTAGGTTTGTCCGCGAGGCCACCGGCTTTAACGTCGACATGAGGATAGGAATTCACACAGGGAACGTACTGTGCGGAGTACTCGGTCTGCGGAAATGGCAATTCGACGTGTGGAGCGACGACGTGACCTTGGCCAATCACATGGAGAGCGGCGGTCTACCAGGGTAAGACGATTCACCACTGTCGTGACCCACTCGATCTGTATTGGTCCTCCTCTCTACCGCATTGCAATACGTACGATTGTACTATGTATAGAACAAAGTACCGTTTCCCGCGGAATAGCAAACGTTAGCGTTTGCGAATGTTAGGCATTTATTTTTCTTGCGCAGCTTCAAAGGCGAAGCTTCTTAGTCCTGGAATTTATTATTCCGCAAAACACTGATATAAGTCAACTTATGACTCGTTATCTAACTGATTTGGTCTCTCATAGTCGCAAAAAGGTACAGACTGCACAGAAAAAAAAGAGAATATTCCTCCTTTGAATTAAATGCTTCTAAGAAGATTGTAGATTGTTGCGTATGTACAAAACAATGACCGCGTTAATTTGAGTATACAACAGTTGATCTGACTCTTTCGCGTGCTCGTTCTCTTTTGCGATAATATATAATTGTGCGTAAATAATGAAAAAATAATTCGCAATAAATTAAAAAAATTAAAATCACTTAGACACCAACATCCTGCCTTGGCTCTTACATCCTTTATTCTTTCGAGATGGGACCTCACGTCAGAGCCTTGTGGATTTTTATGTTTAAAAAATAATTATCGTTTGTATTATATTATGAAGAATTTTTCTGTCAATTTTAAGGCGGGTTCACATAACGAAGGCTACTCTGTTGCAACTGGGCGATCGGTTTGAGGTCGAGCCAGGTGACGGAGGATCTCGAGAGAGTTATCTCGCCCAGCATAAAGTAGAAACTTTTCTTATCGTGCCACCCAAGGTGAGTAGAAGTTTATCATCGCTCAAAATGCTTTCTCCAAAACCGCAATCCGTTTACCCCTGACTCTTTATTGATAATTAGAAGCTTGTTTAACTCATGCTGCTTAATCCTTCGTTTTACGGTATCGCCGAAGGGAGAGCAGAAACACCCTATCTATCCTCATTTGCTGTAGCAGCACACACTTTATCTTCATCGATACTAATTAAAGAGGTTGAACGCGAAAATTGAATTAAACAGCAGTTTGGCGTAGCAGTAGCAGGCAATTTATACTGAAAAAAAAACATTGCTTCTTAGATTGCTTTATAGAATGTGTTTTTCTCGCTGGAGGAAAAACCAAACACCTAAGCAATGTTAATGTAACATATTCCGCGACATAAAAATTGCTGAGAAAATTGTGCTTAAACAAATTTTTGGTATATCGTAAACAATAATGTTAAATAATTTATCTAATGAAAATGTTTCTAATTCTAACTCGTTCACCTTATTATATTGCTAGAATTGTACATTTTATAAGTAACGAGAGCTTTAGTCCTTCGCAAAAAATCTAAGGCTCTTTATTCTTGATTAAATTGCGTATTGAGATGCTAAAACGTTCGTGAGAATTATCCACTGATCAAAGGGAGTTTAAGCAAACGAACAATGGCTCTCTTTACGAGAGGGAACAGAAGATCCGCGTTAGTAGCGTCAAATGATCTATCACAAAGTGGTGATAAAGTTCACTGGTGAAGCAGGAAATCCAAGTAAATCCAAGTAAATTAAACCACGCCTTATTTCTATATAAGCGAAGTTTAGATCGTAATGCCTCCGTTTATCGCCTCAATAAATATCTCAGCAGAAGCTCGTTAAGAACTTGCTTAAAAGCACGCTAAATCGCGCTTTTCCTTCCGCGTATTTATTTACTACTTACTTTTCGAAAATGCTCCTTTCTGATCCAAATCCGGAAATTATAGTTTTATTAAATTTAATTCTTCCGCGTGATGAAAACGGAAAATTCTTCATTATAATAATAACTGAAACTCCTCCCTTATCGTGGAAATATACGTTTATATCGTCTTTTGTGTAAAGACGCGGGTTTGATATTAGTGACAGTGATTAATACTCTGTTGCTTGAAATTCGTTCGTAATATCTTCCATTAAGACAAATGTTCTCTTACAATTAGCAGGAGATATTCTGTAGGTAATTCTTTTCAAAGTAAAAGAATTAATGTCGAATATTTAAAATGATATTTCTTCACAGAAACACACACACACACACATAATTGTAGTTAAATTAAGATATTATGTCTAGTGCAGGATATGCAAATTTGCTAATAACTTTTATTTCTTACAGAAAAATAGAGAGGAAAATGGAATGGAAAACGGTGGAAATCGTATACAGGGACCTGGGCCAATACCTTCTAGGTATGTCTTATTACATAATTTTATTGTCATCAAATTGACATTTAGACAAAAATGTCAGTGTTGCAACGATAACTTCAATAAAAGGTTTAGCTAAAAGCTTCAGTTATTATATTGTGATTATGTTATATTGTAATTGAGTAGAAAGTTGCGATAAAAATAATTTTATACTTAATATTTTTACAATATATTATTTTTTTAAAAGTATTCCATTTGTGTCTCTTTAATATTGCATATTATTATCTCATTAAAAATAGTATATTGTATCGTTAAGGAACGAATAATTACAACGTTATTTAAGAATTTATTGATAATAGTATTAATAAATATTTTATGACAGATCCAGGCCTAGTAGCAAAATGACAAAATATGTAGAATGTTGGGGTGCGGACAAGCCTTTTGCTAATATAGCGGAAGCAACGTTAGCGAAGAATATTGGCCTAACTGTAAGCTACTATTTACTTGTACGAATAGCTTTAATAAAATAAAATGATAATCAAAATGTACTCATTTTGTTCTGATAGAGCATTGCGATGATCGAATCGAATCTATTGGCAAACAATGCCAGCTGCTTTGATACACAGTGAGTTACACATATATGACTACTTTTATGCCAATATCATATTGATAAAAAATGTAGATTACTTGTTTGTCATCACGTTAATATTACGCAATCGAGTCCAGCCACTAACTGCTTAATGATTTAATATAATAATTAGATCTCTCTTCTCTCCGTTATACATGACATATTCGCATGTAGTTATTATTTACTTCAGTTATTATTTACTAGTTATTAATTACTTCAATATACTTTTCCGAATATATACAGGGTGTTATGTAATACCCGCATCAACGCTTATTGTGGGATAGAGTGGACTAGACTAAGTCGAAAAGTCCTCTACCATTTTGCAATTTTCGCAAGAGTCAGCGAGTTATTAATTATTAAAAATCGCTGTCTTGGGCTGGCCCACTGCCCAATTGAAACGTGCGGCGAGATCGATCGATCGTTACTAGGCGCGCAGAGAGTTGTAACGATCGATCGATCTCGCCGCACGTTTGAATTGGGCAGTGGGCCGGCCTAAGACAGCGATCTTTAATAATTAATAACTCGCTGACTTTTGCGAAAATTGCAAAATGGTAGAGGACTTTTCGACTTAGTCTAGTCCACTCTATCCCACAATAAGCGTTGATGCGGGTATTACATAACACCCTGTATATATAATTTTAAAACGACAAATATAAGAATCATGTTTGTATTAAAGTATGTAATTTACAATGTAGAAATGTTTTCGGTTTTTACGTACAATGTTAGACACTGGTGCGGCGGAAGCGAAGAAATTTCGCCTTTTACTTATTGGTTTAAAAACAAGAATCAAGAGCAGATGTATCGAGAGCAAAGGGATGAGCAATATCTTTGGTACGTTATGGCCTCCAATGTGGTTTACACAATGATGTTCTGCATCCAAATCATCTATTTGCCAAGGTAAATTACAATTTAATTGAACATTTGATAATCGAGCCAGTACTCACTCTCTCTTTTTACGAAGATTACTCAATTACTTTAATATCTTAATATTTATGTATCTTTACAAAACAGAATAAAATTATCAGTTATGTGACTTACCTTTTTAAGATAAGACTATTATATTGTATTATTGTATCACAATTATAATATTTATTTAATTAGGTAACGTGTTTTACTCATATAATTCGATTCAGCAGACTTAAATTAATGAAAAGTTTTAGCAATTAAATGATTAATCTCTCCAGTAGTCTTTTTGAACTCGTTAAATATAATAAATTTAAAAAAGGAATGTTCTACTTAATAATTTAAACATCAATTCTGTGTTTTATTTCCACAGGAGCATTATAGTTTACGGTTGCTTCGCAGCTGGTTTAGCATCTCTGATTATATTTGCCGCAATTTCCTGGTTCAGTGGAAAAACTGACTCTGAAAATACTGAAGAAACAACGAATCACATTGCACTTAGCCGCGGTATCAGAATAACTGTGTATTTGATAACGGCACTGTTAGCCATCACATCATCTGCCATTAGTCTGATCGAAGTTGATCGCATTGCCGGACAAGATATTATACCAGTGCGTATATCTAAAATTATTTTATAAAAAATATAGAATAGCATTCGCTAAACGTATTTTCATACTTGAGTAAATCATTATGACGCTTAAAATCTAAGTATTGGCATATACAATTGGAAAACTGATTAATATTAAAATCTAAAAAGCTAAAGGTGCATATTTAATAAATTAATCAAATTTTTTTGTAATACAGTGAAAAGACGTTGAAAAATAATTAAAAAATTTATATATTTACGAAAAACAATTTATTCTCCTGTCATTCGCGTCTCCTAAAGAAAACGTTCCATCATTTTACAATTTTTACTTACAATTCTTTTTATATTACTTACTGAAAGTTTACAAAGGCATCATTCGTATTTTCATTAACGTAAAATACTATTAATGTAAATTGATATGTTCACATGGTTATCACGTTCTCTTTAATATATTTTAGGTGTATATGTACTCACCAGTGATAGCGTTAGTAGTTGGCTGGACACACTTGAGAGTCGACTTTTTGCTGAAGCTAGGCGTAATGCTTCTATCCGTTGCCATAATACTCGTGATCTTCTCCCAAGCACCGGTAATCCAATTGTATTACGACAACTCTGATGCCAAGTAAGTGAGACGCTCTGTAAACCCGAGCATTGCATGTTATAAATCGCAAGCACTCTTGAAAGTCACAGAATGTTATGCGAGCCACATTTTCGCAGGTTCACTTATGGCGTCCATTATCTGATGCAAGTGGGATATTTACTAGTTCTCGTCAGTCTGATACTCCATGTTCTCGACAGACAAGTGGAATATACATCCAGGATGGATATTCTATGGAAAAGCAAGCTGAGGGTCGAGCAGGACGAGGTGGAAACCATGAGAGGCATCAACAAAATTCTCTTGGAAAATATCCTTCCAGCGCATGTGGCTGATCACTTTTTAGCCACAAGAGCTATGCAGGTAGCACATTCAATGAAATAACTTATTACAAAAATCACGTTTTCTTTCAATGTATACAATTGATACATGATTAATCGGTTTAAATGTTTAAATAATTATACGTAATTATATGATTATGGTATTCAGATACAAATGTGTTTATTATAACTTTTGTAATAAGCTATAGAAATTTTGCAATAATAAGTTAAAATAATCTTGCACAACTAAAAGACAAAATAGGTGCTGTTAGTTTTTTCTTAAATATTTGTTTATAACATTTCTTCTCATACATATTTTTAGAACATAATAAATAACAGGGATTTATAATTATTAATCATATTTCTCAATTTAATCTCAGCATTTTTAAATAATACAAACGTATAATAATATTACAATAAAAGATAATCCCATTATCTTCTAACAGGAACTCTATCACGAGAGATATAGTAGCATCGCTGTAATGTTCGCGTCGATTCCGAATTACAAGGAATTCTATGACGAAACCGACATAAACAAGCAAGGTCTTGAGTGTCTGCGTTTACTTAACGAAATCATTTGTGACTTCGACAAGCTCTTACTCAAGCCGAAGTTTTCGGGGATCGAAAAGATCAAGACGATAGGTAGTACTTACATGTTAGCATCCGGCCTGAGTCCAGGAAAGGAGGATAGCGATGGCAAAGTAAGATCACAAAATTAAACTCCAGAGTTGAAATTTTCATTTTTTGTGCAACCTGTTTTGTTTATAAAAAAATTTCGCGATAACGTATTTCTCTATTCATCTTGATCTAATTCTAGAAAGTCGAATAAATAAACAGCTTGCATGAAATAATCTCACAAAGTAAATAAATGTATGAGTTTTCAGGTGCGCACTTAAAAAAAATTGTTTATTATTTACTTATTCTGGAGAAAATTGTTAAAATAATATTGTTCTTTATCTGCTTTATGCAGGACCTGCTGAAGCAACAAGATCATAATGTAATTGTACTCGTCGAGTTTGCTATCGCACTTATGACCATTCTGGATCAGATCAATAGGGATTCCTTCCAGAGATTCAAATTGAGAATAGGTAGGAGTGGAAAATTATTATATAATAATGGAAAAGTAGGACCAATATTATATTATCAGTAACACTATTATTATCAACCTCTTTTTATCAAAATATTTTTTTATATTTAAATAGTTTTAATAAGAACAGAGGAATTTTCAATAATAGACAATTGCAAAATGAGTAAATGTATATTAAACTTGCCTCTTTACTTTGTGAAATAAATAAATGACAAAATATTTTTCTTTGCAGGCTTAAATCATGGTCCAGTGATAGCGGGTGTTGTAGGTGCACAAAAGCCGCAGTACGATATTTGGGGAAACACGGTAAACGTGGCTTCCAGGATGGACAGTTGCGGTGAGATGGGCAAGCTGCAAGTCACCGAGGACACTGCCAAGATCCTCATAGACGCCGGATATGAACTCATTTGTCGTGGACCGACGTACGTGAAGGGCAAGGGAACCCTCACCACGTACTTCGTGAAGACACCCTTCGACGATAAAGGGGACAGCTATTAGCAATGAATCGAAACGGTTTAGATAGTTCAATTTTATTTCGTAGATTGTATTATAATCTACGAACAAAAATTATAATATAAAATCGAAAGATTGTAAGCTCTATCGATCTTTACAAGTCTGAATACCTCATGAAAAAGCGAAACATGAAACGTTGCAATTTGGTCCAAGTGATTTCAGAATGTTAATGATTGATTTATTAATGTAATGATCTATTAATGTAAAATACTCGTGGATGTTTACTCAATTAACTAAATAAGCTCTTACCTTTGTGAGAAGAAATCAGACGAAAAAAGCTACATCTTTTTTTAAATTATCATAAAAATTAAAATATTCGCAATATTTTCAGCGAAGTATTTCCATTTAAAGTAATATTTCCATTCTCTGCTGTTCGTTATTAAAGGATGAATAATCAACACGTGTGCAACAAGAATGCGAATGTTTGGAATTATTAAATAACTACTTGCTCTCGATGTTTGTTCTTTGCATTTACAAAAAAAAAGCGATAACGTGGCGTAAATAATTATCATTTTTGGGAATTAGAAATTTTATGTACCAGAGACAAAGCAGTTGATGATTTTACACACATGTTTTTCACAAGATACCATAGAATTACGGTAAGTGCAGAAACAATTGAAACACTGACTAAATCCAACTTTTGACTTATGACAAATGATAATAAATATCGTTACACCGTACCTGTTCAAGTAGATTACCTGTATATATACATATATCTTCTTTATAATTATTTTTGGCAAATGTGTTGTGACACAATTATTCAGCTTCGATAGCTCATGCTCATAGGTTCGCGTGAGAACGTAAATAAGCGCAGTAGATTCTCTTTGCTTTCTGTGTTTCATATCTAACCGCCCATTATGCGAAATGTCGCTGTTGCGCTTTACAGCATTTAAAATCTGTTTATGGGAGATGAGGGATCAAACCTGGGATCCGCCAATTATGAGTCAGCCGTTCTTACATGGTCATCTCATATGTATATACATATACAAAGTATATAGTAGTGCCATAAATTCCGAGCAAATGGATTTATCTCATAATTGTAATAAAATAAAAAGTAGTATGAAATGTGTACTTATTTTATTGATTTGAGCAATTATAATATACAGATAATAAAAATGTTCACCTTTTGATTTCGTAAATTTCTTCAAGACCAAGCTACAAATACTCTAGCACGCAAAATCTCAATGAGTATTTTCACTAAATCAATATTTAGAATCTTAATATGTTAGTAAGATTTAAAACATTTTCAATACTTATGATTGTTTTATAATTGGCCAATTCTATAAAAAGAGTATACATTTTATACTGTTTTTTTTTAATTTTAGTTATCAAATAAATACATTCTTCTTAGAAGCAGAATTTATGACACAACTATATGTATTATACATATCTACACACTTGTATATAATTAATTCTTTTCGAGAGATACGACAAACGAATTTCTACGAATAATATCCATCGAGAGAAACAACGAGAACATCTCAATAAATCTCGATATCAAATATGTATATTACATGTACGATATTGCTTCGTATGGCCAGTATTTATTGTCTTTCTTCACAATTGGAAAATATTGCAAACATGACTATGTGAATAGAAATACATAGTAAAGTTCATCTCGATTATAGCATTTTGTCTCATAAACTTTTAGGGGGTAAAATACATAAGATTAGTGTTACACATATACTATTGATAAACGTTAATTTTCGCGACATAATTTATAAATAATCACATTATCCTTAATTAAATATTCAAGTTTGTATAAAATAAATGAAGAACTATGTGATTTCTTGTAAATATAATGTATGTTTTTCTTTGACAGGAATTTCTAATTTGTATGCGATATTATTTTTGTGCCGTAATTACAATTGATTGGAACAATACGAAACTTCTGAATTCTTTGACATCAAGCTTTCTACGGAGAAGAAAAGAAGAAAGCTATAAGAGAAACGAAACGACAAGATTAAAACATATGACGATTTATTCTAATAGCAGATGTATAGAAACAATGAGATTGCGTAGAAGTAGAATTAGATATAAGTTTTTACAGCATCGTAGTTTGTGGTTCACGCATAGCACGAGCCTTGGTTCTGCAAACACCACTCAGGTTGCAAGCTGTCCGCGTAGATCTTTCGTTCGACAAGTCTCTCGCGATGCCTCAACATTCTCTGTTCGGCGTGATGCCATTTGGAATCCGGCTCGCTCCACAATCTCTCAGCCATTGCTGCCGATCTCGGCCACAATCTCGAATCAGTATTTGCGCTGTCCGCCTGTTCGGTCCAAAGCGCTGCTTCTCCACCTATGGAAAAAAATGTAACAAATTGGATGACCAGTTAAATTGTAATTATTAAGCGTATCAACGTTAGAAACTGAATGTTAATGAATGTATAAGTTGAACAAATCGGTATACCCTGCACACTTTTTTCTGCCAAATTTGTTTTAACCAATATGTCTTGATAACATTTTTAAGCGCTCTTATTTTAGAGATACTGAAGAACACAAACAATTTTTAACTCTGCAATAATGATTTTAATGGCATCTTATATTTAACGTTATCCCATAACTCACAGTTTATGAAGCACTAATACAATTTTAATAGAGTATTTACCTAGAATAAGATGCTTCTTATTCCCGTATCCTTGTTTCTTGATCATATCTAACGGTGAATTGTCGTAGATCTTTTGCCAACCCTTGTACGGCGCGCACCAGTTATTTCCCTCGCCTACCCAGGCTGCGAATCTACGAGAGGTGCAAAAACATAATTAACATTTAATTTCAAGATTTAGTATATGTTCATAAAATAGTACGCCCGATAATTCTTTACCAAACAGCCAAATATATGATACACATGACGGTTTTTGGTCAAATAGATACAAATATGCAATGCTATATGTTTTATAATGTTTTCTCACCCACAGTCAAGGTACAAGGCATCGTAATTTGAGAAAATCATCTTGAAGTCATTTCGCAACAGCCTGCCAATAGTTGGATCGTCGCCGGTCGTCCAAATCTGAACGATATATTTCGCAGGATCCAGATGTTTAATGTTCTCTTCGCTCGTCAATCCGCTGGTCCACAGGACGGCCGGAATATCCTTGCCGCCGTTGGCGATCTTCAGCTTCTCCAGAGCTCTCTCTTGGAAGTAGTCCCACAGCAGGTAGAAGCTGCTTTCGCTAAGATCCCATCCCTTCTTCAGCATCCAATCGGTGATAATGCTTTGGGATCTCCAGCAGTTGACGTTTACTTCGTCACCGCCCATATGGAAGATGTCTGGTTGTTGGAAATCTTCCATCATATCCTTATAAATTCCCTCAAGGACCTCGTACATCCTTTCGCTGGTAGGATTCAGCTGACCGCACGGTGGCTCCACGCAATACTGCATCCAGGGCTCGGCTTTGAAGCAAACTGTCGCGTTGTCGCCAACCTATTCGTTAACACAGAATACTGTAGATTGAAGCAAAGAAATATGACATAAATTGTATTTGCTAATGCCATATCTATTTCGGTCAGATTTCGGTCCGTATTCTCTCCTATTTTATTGATAAAAGCGCCTCTAAAAGTGGCTTGTAGCTAATCAGAAGGTTATTAGCCACTTTTAGAAGCGCTTTCATTGGTAAAAGAGGGTTCAGAGTATGGGCCTTTAACTTTCTTAATTTTTATTTACGATAATTAACAATCTAAACTTTTGATAAAAAATAAGAAATGTTTATACGATAAAATATATGAATAGGAAAGCTGATCCATAGAAACATTTTTAATATAGATAAAATAATTTAAAGTTGTTATAATGCGATTTGAGTTACTTTTGTATAGCGGTATATTTGATTTATATTTTATTCCTCTCACAATAATTGTTAATATTTTATCTATACGACTTTATAATGTAGAACAAATTAATATACATATATACAGTTTTCTATAGCGTTATATGCTTAAGGTACATATTAAAAATCTTTAACAAAGCAATTCTTCAAGATTACCTTAAGCAACATCTGTAGACATAATATTTCTTAACGAATGATTATTAATGCAAATACAGATGTTAACTGCCAAACAAACCGTTTTACGAGATGTAAACGATTAAAAAAATTAACATAATTAATCAGCTAAATATAATTAAAAACAGCTGGACAAGCCCCTGTTAAATTTTTCTTTCTGTACTTATATTGACTGTGTAAATTTGTACACTTTTATTTGTGAGATATTATTAAGGAAAACATTATTTCCGCGGACTCACTAAATTATTATATAAATTGCAACATTTCCCTTCAGTTGATTAAGACAGCTAGGGGGATGAAATTTTATCGAAATAATTTCTAATATATTTATGTAATGTCTCAAATAACTACCAATCTTTTACGCAAAATTTGCATTGCATGTTAATTACGTTTTCAGTTATCGTAATTATTATAAATTATGTATAGATATGAAAATACATACACATATATTAATATTCTCTCTATACTTGCTTGAGGCTATTTCTCATAATGGCTGTTATTCAAAATAGAAGCAAACTATATATCGTGTTACATTTATCATTTATCATGAGTTTCAGTTCACTTGCTGATAACGTGGAAGTTATATTGCTCACCCACTGCCAGCCCTCGCCAACGTGAGCGGGAGCGTCAAACTCTGGCAGGACTCTGACACCGCGAACCAGGGCGTAATCGACGATCTCCTTGATCATCTCGGAGGTATAGATCTTGGTCGGCGTGTAGCTACCGTATTTGACGAAATCGGGCCATGTTTTGCTAACGTAGGGGAAGCTCTGGGAGTCGGTGATATGCCAGTGGAATGTGTTCAGCTTGGACATGGATATACCCTCGATCGTCCGCAAAATTGTCTCCTTGTCGACATAATTTCGGCTAGTGTCCAATAGGATCCCGCGGTAGGGATACTTCGGGCCGTCTGCGATGTACATCTCGTTGACTATTTGAATCTGATTGCGCAAGTCGTCGAAGACGATCAGTTGGCTGAGGGTCTCCAACGCGTATCGAGCTCCGAAGTATGTGTTCGCCGTGACATAGGCTTCCACCTAGAATTCATTTTAATAAATTTTAATAAAGAGAAGCCACTTGTTATCTTTAATCACAAAGTAAAAGAGATTTTTTTTATATTCGACACATCCATAAAACTTTATAAATATTTTAGCTCTTACCATTCTCGTCTACCTTAAGTCTTTTAAATTCCTTTACAAAAAGAAAACAGTTCTCGATGTTTACACGAATACTACCTCGAATAATTTGAGAACCACAGAAACCAGTCGTCGATTTAGTGAGAAGCCAAATGTAAATTTATTCAACATTGCGTTTCTTGTTTTCTTTTTCTGCTCAGCATTCTTTGTTACAACTCACCTGTCCGTCGACTGTAGCAACTTGGAGAGTATAGCTCTCGTCCGTTTCCAAGGTCAGTTTGACATTGTCGAGATTGAGTCCTTCTTTGAAGCGTACCACCAGCCCGGTCCCGCCAGCGTTCAAAGTTACGGGACCACTGAGCTTCTTCGCGTTCTCCTTCATACGATCTATGTTCCTCTGAAGCAGATTGCCCACCACCGTCTGAGTGGAAATTCCGGCGAGCGAAATTCTCTCAGGATTCAGCTGCACCACGGTCCTGCCGACGGACATGTGCCCCGTCGGCTTCGGCCACAGGGTTCCACCTTGGCCGCAGAACAATTGGCACACGCTAAGAGCGACCGGGTTGGCATCCTGTTCTGTGATCAGTGTCTTCTTGCATAGGCCGCCATCGCACTTGTAGTGCCAAGGAGAACTGCGATTTGAAGGGGAGAGATTGGCAATTTTTAGCGGATGCCTATCGAAGAGATTCTGATTCTATCCTAATTTTTTCTACGCACATATTCTTTAATTTCAATCGATTAAGATGTATTTCTCACTATTTTTTTTTATTACTGCTTTCAATATCTTTGCGCAACTACCCAGCTGGCCAGCTCTTTGCCTACTACAAATGTTGAAGGCAGAAAGACCGCGGATTGTGCATACAGGAACTGATATATTCGACACGTTGCCAGCATGTCAGCAGAAATACAACAAAATCGTTAGTACGGAAAAAGTAAAATTAAGTACTTTCACGTATTATGGACTTGATAAAAATGTATCTCGTTTTATTTGTGCCGATTATCAGGGCAATGTAATTCTAGAGATATACTCGATCATCTCTTGAATCGCGCTCTTTATTACACTACCAATCTCATTGACATTTCTCTATTCCTTCAATCTGTACCTGAGGAAACCGTCCGTAAACTTGTCTGCAGTGATGTGGAGGCATTTAAATCCCGTTGTGAAATTCTAATGTAGGTCTTCAAACCGCTAAATATGACCAAACGTTAAGGTCGATCGTACGCTCTCATTCGAAACGAGACTCAAACCGATATCGACGAAAGAATTGTAATGTAACGGTGCGTGACCATGCTGCATATTTTAGTCACTTTTCCAATCAACTTATGAAGAACAACCATTTCATTCTTCAAGAATGGGACTATAGATATTTTACAATAATACAAGAGTGTCTCCTTGCTTTATTTTTAAGGGTAAAATAATGAGGCAAACTGATTATTATATTATGATGAAATCCCGAAGCGATTCCATCCAGGATTAAGCTTCGAGAAATAATCTCGAAGGAGGAGGCTGTAAAGCGAATCAGAAATGATACGAACTGCATAAAATTTAAAACATACGCTTTTATAAATAATGTTAGCCTGTACATTTTTTAGACTTTTTCACCATAAAAGTGACATTAAAAAATTTTAAACTTTGTTACAAATCGGCAAAAGAAAAATGTCACTTATAGTCGCCAGTGATGATTAAAAATTAAAACAGTGAGCTTCTTGTCAACCCAACTGACAAATTTTATATTGAATTCGTTACGACGTTTCGACCTTACTTCAAATCTTTTTCAAGTAACAATACAAATAAGGAAACAAGAAAAATTTGAACTTCAAAGAATTTAAAGGACTCAGAGCCGTGACGGGATGGTAGTGTCTAAATATTCTATTCCGAGGTGATATTTTTTCGCAATAAATTTAGAATAGAATATTTAGACACTACCATTCTGTCACGGCTCTGAATCCTTTAAATTCTTTGAAATTTGTGTTTAACACATACGAGCCTTACTAATTTATTTAAAAATTTGAACGCTTAAATCGAACCTCAATAATATTCGGATGTGCGCTTATTTTTATCTTTTAACTCTATCTCACGGATGACGATGACTTACTTGTTTATGAATTTTTCTTGTTTCCCCACATAGCACAAATGACTGTTTGCCAGCTGACAGTCAACATTTTTTAGTCACCTTGAAGTCAACTTTTTAAGACGACATTTAGTCAACTATTTATAGAATTGTTTATTGTAGACTTTAACTATTTTACTGTTACTGTTATAACACGGTTTTAATTTTGTTATAAATATTCCGAGAAATTAGTCGATGAAAAGAGAATTTATACGCTAACATTATTTATAAAAGAATTTACGTTTCAAATTTTATGAAATTAATAACACTTCTGATTCTCCTTGATTATATTTTACGTCGTGTCTACAATAAAGAAAAAAAAATTCTTTCATTCGAGGGCCGTAAAATTATTTTACATTATGAATTTACAGTACACGCGATTTTTATCGGAGGATAAAAATAATTCCTATCGTTAGGAAAAAAAGCCGCAGATTATCTCATTACTGTTCACCGTTACGGCGATACCGTCGTGAAAGGATCTCTATAATGTAGACGTTTATGCGACTGCTGCATTCAAAGCCCGACAAGTGTGACAGTAGACAGTAAAATGCTGAATAATTTTCCGAATGTCTTTGAACTTCGGGAAGACTTCGCGCCGGGGCGATCGATGCGGTCTATTTCTTAATGAATCCACCCACTTGTTGCTTTCACCGTGTACCAAGTGAATTTACCTTTCTATTTAAAACTAACATTCACGCGGTCGGATAGCGATAAGATAGCGCATTACTTGACCGCTTTAAAAGCGTACGGTACATGTACGTATTGATTCCAACACGCGAAGAAACAAATAATGACGATTACAGATTAATACAACGAGATACGAGCGCTTGGTCCTGAGGATCGAGCGAAAGGCTTTGATATCTAAATTTCGACGAGCCAAAATTTAGCCACCGAAATCTAACAATCTGATCTGAAATTATGTACCAATTGACCGAGCATCACAATTGGTACCAAAATCAGGCAATGACCTCCGTACATATATTTCTCAAAGAAGATAAATCAAGAAAAATCGAGAAATGGCAATCGGCGTAAGCAGTTTTCCATATCTACCGTTAAATTCGGGACCAATCTTTCGGCTTGGTACTCACGTGTACTCCTCGGCTTGATTGGCGCCGTGTTGGAGCGCGAGGACGATTAGTAGTGCGAGCATGCTGCTCGAAGCGATCGCCAGGGCTACTGACAGTCGAACGCTCGATTGTCGTCCGCAGAATGATTTTATCCTTCGCCCAAAGATCGCATTCATGCTGTGTTTGCGAGGTAGAGGGGACAAACCGAGTGGGGAGGAAGCTAATGTCTTTAATGTGCGAAAAACGGCACGGCACGTGGCGCGCAAATTATATTCGCTGCGCATTATATGAAAATTAAAACAATATATAAATATTCATACACAGATACACAACACGCGTACAACGTATCGATAAATCGCAAGATTTAACCGAGGGACATATCGGTCCTGAAAATATCGCTTGAGCGCGTCCAACGAAAAATCTCGACTTTCGTAACGTCCGCCTTCCGCCATCTTTAAATTTATATAAATAACAATAAATTATATTTTGTATCTTTACGGCATCGACATTTATCCGTGCGAGTCTAAAATTAAACCCCTCTTACTTTCAGCTCGCCAAATTACTGCATTGTTCACCGGTAACATAATACACGCGATATACGTAATTGAAAACCGTAATCAAATATTCACTCAGCTGTCGGCGTTGACAAAATATTTGTGCGAAACAGACGTATCGCCACGACGATTCCGTACACCTCGTATCGAAGTTGCACCAACTGGAACTACGCGAACGCAGAGTTTATGGCTACGGTTGTTGAAGACTTTGACACGTATCTCGCGTTATTACCAGTTGGGAAAGTTACTTTATAAAAATAACTAGTTACAGTTACAGTTTTTTTGTTAACAATGTAACTAGTTACAGTTACGAGTTACCAATTCTGCATTAAGTAACGCGTTACAGTCACTCGAAAAGTGACGAATCGTTACCTTGCAGTTACTCCCTTGCAATAGAAATAAAAAAATATCGAATCTGCATCTGAATTGTAAAGCGGCGACCTTAGCGGAAAAAATTTCTACAAATAACTACAAAAATTGACTTGAAATAGAAATTTGTAGAAATTTTTATATCTTCGTTGAAACATTTATTTCTTTGTAAAAATATCTATAAAATAGTACCACAAATTACAATGTTCTCAAATCAAGAAATTATTGCAAGTAGTATTTCATGAAAATGTACAATTTTGTAAAAATTAATACAAAACTTTACTAGTTTTAAAAATTTGAGAAACCACGAAATCTTAAAGAATTAAAACATCTGCTTACTTGTAGAATATTACAAAAATTAACAAAAGTGTTCCAATTCTAGCATTTTTATGTTGATTTTTATAAACACTTTTTAAATTTACGTAGAATTTCTTAGATTCTGGCAGTTATGTTTAACTTTTTTGTAGAATTTGTAGAATTATTTCCGGCAGGGGATAAAGGCGTTTATGCGCAAATGCAAGGCCTATTACGATCTGTGGAGGTTGAAAAAAAAAATATAAAGTAACTATTAATGTAACTATTAAATTAGTTACTAGTTATCGAAAAAATGTGACTGAGTTAAGTTACAGTTACAGATGTAGAGAAAGTAACGAAGTTAAGTTAGAGTTACCAAAAAGAAGTAACTGTAACTGTAACTTCGTTACAAGTAACGAGTTACTTCTCAACCCTGGTTATTACAATCATAAAGCTAGTTATAAACACACCCGTTTCATAACTGTTTATAACGTGCGAGTCGCACTTGACATCGAGAGGCAATTATTATCATATCTCAGTGTTCAACGGAACCAAGAGTTTCCCCGATTACGCCACTCTCCTTTCTTTCAATTTCTAATTTGTTCTCTAAACGACTTCAATTTCTTAAGCCAAGTACGTTGATTAAACAATTTATGATAGTCGTACTTTAGCAAATCAACTGCAGCGTGATTGCAAAGTAAATTTAAATGCACAACGTGAGCGTAACACACAAGTGTTTTAATATAAAAAGCGCTACTCGGTAAAATTTGCACAAGTGTTGGTTTAATTGGCATAGGTCAACTGAACCAAGAATGCGCTGCAAAATATAAAAATTTCCCTTTCTCTCCCGCAAGTGTATCCATTCCTTTTTAAGAAAATTGCATATATTTACGCTTTTAATATACATACACGCACAAGAAGATAATATTCATACACAGGTAACGCTCTTTAATAAATATATAATAAAAGTTTGTAGAAAGGTAAATTACACGTCGTGCGGCAGGCGTTTGCAAAGAAACATTTGTCTGTCACAATCCGGACCTTAAAAACTAGGATTTATCCTATTCGTCTCCACGAATCGCTCTGTATTTAGCCAGTTCGTTGGGGAAAACTCGAGTCAGCTCCACCAGCATGTTCGCCTTGAACTTTCTATAGGCATCGATCTTCCCCTTCACCTGTTCGTTCTTCGTCAGAGCCTTCTCTATGCAGTCTTTAGTATATAATTGAGGATTCCTCCCTTGGTCAATGTAACTGAAACAAGTCGTATAATTCCGTTAACCAGGTACGCATCGATTATAAAGGCATCTGTCCACGACGCTAGAACTTGGTCCAAGTTCCAGTTCCGAGAAATGTGTAGCCAATCAACTTGCAGCTTTCATGGACTAGCTGTAAATCGATTGGCTACACATCTCTCGAAACTAGAACCTGGGCCAAGTTCTAGCATCGTGGACACGGACCTTAAGTCACGTCAGCGTTATCAGACTTACTCGAACACCTCCAGTGGCACGTGGACATCCTGAACCTGAGACTTCAGCTTGTCAATTTCCTGCAGGCCATTGACCAAACCTTGACTGTAAAGGGCAAACAAAATCGTCAATTTTCAAATAAACTTTTAAGAAATTTCACACTTCGGGCGACATCAACTACAATTTACGGCTACGCAAATATCAAGTCCCTTGACTGAATGGACCATAGTTTATAGCAAGGAGTACAATAAAGCTACATTGTACGTTCCAAGAATATGCCTTTTCTGACGAAACACATTAAAGTGTTAACCCCATTAACCTCTTCAATTATCGGATCTCAAAAGCGTTCTTCTGACAAGTGCACGCGCAACAATCATTCGTTATTGCTCAATTGTGACGGTGAAACGTAACGAGCATTGTCGTACGCCGCTGCGAGGTTAGTTCGCGAGGATAACGTCATTATGTTTACGCAAACGTAAATATGCACGTTGCACGGATACTCACATCTTCTGATTCAATACGTTTTGTCCCTGGGGTTGAAAATCGCTCACTATGATGCGTATTTGCCGCACGTTCTCGATAAAGAGTTCCAGCTGAGCTTCCAGATTCTCCAAGGCGGACGCCATTTTTAATTTACAGTCGCTTCCCACCATGGTGGAAGGGATAACATCATAGC